ATAAGTCAGAATGGAAATTAATTAAATAGGGAATAGAAAAACAAACATTAATGGAAACTCAAAGCTGGTTCTTCAAAAGATTAACATGATTGTTATTATGTCCTTAGCTAGACTGAACAAGGGGCTGGGAGAGAAGAGGACTCAGGCTGATGCCATGGTACACACCCACCACCCATAATCCTGGAGACTCAGGAAGCTGAGCCAGGTGTTTGCAAATTCTAGGCCATCTGGGCAATTTAGCGAGACCCTGAGCAACTTCGCAAAACTGTCTCAAAAATTAACCAAAAAAAAAAAAAAGACTGGGGATGTAGTTCAGTGTTGAAGTACCACTGGGTTCAATCCACAGTACTAATTTAAAAAAAAAAAAAAAACCCTAAAAAGAAGACTCCAATTGCTAGAGTCAGAACTAAAGAGGGGACATTACCATTAACACTATAGAAATAAAAAGGATTATGAACAATTGTACACCAAAATTAGATAACTTAGATAAAACGGACAAATTCCTAAATACCATAATCTAGATAGACTATAACAAGTGAATAGATTAATAATAATAAAAAAAAACTACCTGCAAAGTAAAACCCAGACCCAGAGGGTTTCTAAGTTCTACCAAAGTTAAGAATCAATACTATTTTTAAACTCTTTCAAAAGGGAAGAGGTAAACAATACTTCCAAACCCATTTTCTGAAGCTGTAATTTATTTAGACAAAGACAACACAAGTAAACTACAAACCAAAATCTCATGTATACACAGAAATTCTCAACAAAATACTAGCAAACCAAACACAGCAAAATACAGGTGTTAGATATCATATTTCATGATGGTATGGTTTATCCCAGAAGTTGGTTTTACATTTAAGAATCAAGGAGCTGGGGCTGGGGCTCAGTGGTAGAACACTTGCCTGGCATATGTGAGGCACTGGGTTCGATCCTCAGCACCACATAAAAATGTTTTCATTACAAAAAAAAAAAAAAGAGGTGTTAAGGGCTGTGATTGTAGCTCAGTGGTAGAGCACTTGTCTAGCAAATGTGAGGTACTGGGTTTGATTCTTAGCACCACATAAAAATAGTTATGTGTATATCTACAACTTTAAAAAAAGTTGAAAAAAAAAAGGGGGTGTTAAAGGGAACTTTCTCAACCTGATAAAAGCCATCAATAAACAACACAGGGGCTGGGGTTGTCGCTCAGAGATAGAGAGGCTAGCCAAGCATGCGTGAGGCACTGGGTTTGTTCCTCAGCACCACATTAGGTAAAATAAAGACACTGTGTCCACCTAACTAAAAAATAAATATATTTTTTAAAAGTACAGTTAACATAACAGTGAAATAAAAGATGATTTCCCCAAGACGAGGAAAAAGATGTCTGCTCTTCTGCTTCCATCTATCATTGTGCTAGGAGAACAATCAGGCAAACAAATAAATAAAATAAATAAAAGACATCTGCCTTGGAAAGTAAAACTATCTCTTTTGTAGATGATATGACAGTGTGTAAAGACAATGCTAAAGAATCCATTAAAAAATTTTTAGAATAAATAAGTTCATTAGGTTGCAGGATATATAATCAATATACAAAAATCAACTGTGTTTTTATATACTTTTAGTGAACAATCTGAAATTAAAACAATGCCAGGATTGGAGATGTAGCTTAGTGACAGAGCACTTGCTTAGCATGCACAAGGCTCTGGCCACAAAACTACAAAAAAGAAAAAATAAATAAAAGTTCCATTTATAATACCATCAAAAGGGGAAAAAAAATAGGAATAATATTCTCATTGTTGAAGAAAAATCTGAATAAATGTAAAATCACTCCATGTCCACGAATCAAAAGATCAAAAGGCCTAACTTGGTTATGATGGAATTATTCCCCAACATAATCCACAAATCGAAGGCAGTCCTTTCTGCCTTTTTCTAGTAATTGACATTGTTTCTAAAATTAATATGAAACTGCAAGGGACCCAGAATAGCCAAAACAATCTTGAAAAAGAACAAAGTTGGGGGAACCATACTTTGCAATTTCAGAACCTACAAAAGCAACAGTAATCAAAACGTGTGGTACTAGGTATAGAATTGAAAGTCTAGAAATAAACCTGTATGTCAATGGTCAAATAATTTTTTTTTTTTGTACAGGTGATTGAACTCAGGGGTACTCAACCACTGAGTCACATCCTCAGCCCTAATTTGCATTTTATTTAGAGACAGGGTCTCACTGAGTTACTTAGTGCCTCACTGTTATTGAGGCTGGCTTTGAACTTGCAATCCTCCTGCCTCAGCTTCCCAAGTCACTGGGATTACAGGCATATGCCACCACGTCCGGCTCAAATAATTTTTAATGAGGGTGACGACTGAACAGGGAGAGAGAAAAGAGTCTCAAAAAATAGTGCTGTTAGAATTGGGTATGCTTATGCAAAAGAATGAAGGTGGATCCTTATCTCAAACCATATTCAAAATTAACTGAAAACTTGTTTGCCTAATTGTGTGAAGACCTAAGTATGAGAGTTAATACTACAAAGGTCTAAAAAGAAAACAGGTAAATCTTCACAGCCTTGTATTGGGGAATAGATTCTTAGGACACCAAAACTATGAATCACAAACATACTGGAATTCATCAAAATTAAAAACTTTGTACTTCAAAGGACAGCATCACAAAAATGAACAGCTAATCCACAGATGGGGAAAAAACATTTATAAATCACTTGTTTAATAAGAGACTTCTACCTACCTCATATTAAGAACTCTTTCAATTCAATAATAACCCAAACATTTATAGGAGCATTATTCACAACAGCCAAAAGGTAAAAATAACCAGATACCAACTGACAAAAGGACAAACATATATGGCATATCCACACAATAGAAGAGTTGTCACTCAAAAAAAGGAATGAAGCAGCATAATACAAGCTCCAAGCTGGGTGCACCTTAAAAACATTATACCAAGTAAAAGATGCCAGTCCCAAAAGACAATTTATTATTTCATTTCATTCATGTGCAAGTTCACAATAGGGAGATCTATAGAGAGTAAATTAGTGCTTAGTGTTGGGAGTTATAAGGGATGTGGAGATAGGGGACTGAGTTAAAAAGTCAAGGGCTGCTTTTAGAGGTGACGAAATATGTTCTAAAATGAGTGATGACTGCAATCTCACTATCTTACAAACCACTGAATATACACTTTAAATTAATCGTATGGCTTGCAAATAAATCTCAGTGAAGGGGTCAAAAATATAAGAATTGGTAACAAATATTTTTGCTTATATTCAAATTAAATAATTTGTAATTTCTGATGCTCATCTCCTCATTTTGGGCCTACCATTCTATCACCATATATTTTAGCAAAGAAAATATGCAAGTAACAATTGGTTAGTTTTACCTAATTTGTAAATGAATTTCAGAATTCTTTCAGAATACAAACTAAATATGACTGAGATAGTTTGTGGATGCACATTAGTGAGCACTGCGCTTCAGTATTCAGTCATTGATTCAATCTCTCAAGTATTCGAACAGCAGAATTCACATCCTTCTTAACCTGCCACACCACAAGTAACTTCAGGCACCCTGTCTCCTGTCATGGGGCCTCAGCTTTCCAAAGTCAACCTCTCTAAAAAGTAATTCTGGTCCCACTGGTGACTTCACACACAACATATTATAAATTTTGTTATGTCACATATAGGTGCCATAGACATAAATGCCTTTTGTATTTCTACCTTTGGGATAGAAACCCTAAAACCAGAAAGTTGGAATGGTGGCCCGAGGGGCAAGCAGCATTTTATTTTTTAGAAGTTAGTAGCTGTCTATGAACATTTTTTTAAACTACAATAAATGGTGAGTTAGCTATAACAATGCCACCTCTACATAGAGAAAAGCACACCTGAGGTTGGGGGTGCGGCTCAGTGGTGGAGCACTTGCCTAGCAATGCGTTGAGGCCTGGGGTCCATCCCCAGCCACAAAACAAAAACACAACATACATTTGTGCAGTGAGTTACAGAAAAAGTAGTAAACTTTAAAAAGTCAGAACTGGAATTCTAGACCTGATTTGCTACTAGAGATAGATATCTCTAGGCAGAGAATTTAATTCTCCGGATCTCCATATAATTAATCTATAAATTCAGTTGTCTGGAAGCCCTATTATTCAAATCCAAAATTCCATATTGTAGTTCATTAAACATCCAATCACATTTTAAAATAGAGAACATACATATAAAAGCAGTTAAAACTCAGTTTTGGTCAAATGTCAAAAACAAAAACTCTATAAACAGTTAACTTTCAAAAACACTAGAAAACATGGAATTTAGATTACAAATCTAAATTCAATAGAATCAGATAAATCTTTCATTTCATGTAAACACAACATTTGAACTGCTGCCAATTAATAGCTCCCTTCCCTTTTCTTCTAAAAACCCATGACTATTTTAACACTTTTATTACATAATTAGTTCTAAATCCAATTATAAGCCAAATGAAAATTCAAAGACCAAATCTCAGAAGAAAATTTTGAACAACATTCAATACCAATATTTAAATACATTAATGATTATAAGTGAGTTGTGCTTTAACTATATCATGGTAAAAACAATATGATGTGGCTCTTCAAATTAGGATGACATCTAGTTTCTTTGGCTATTTTAAGATTTTATACAGCCTTTAACCTAAAAATTTCTCAAATATAGACTTCTGGAAAGTATTTACTTTCACTGTTACAAAGATTAAGTCCATGTTAAAAACAGATCATCCAACTCCTATACTATACATAAGTAGAAAGTATGAAACCATTATATTGCAGATCATATTTAAAGATGTATACATAAATACTAGAAAAAATTCTGAAGGCACTTGGAGTTTTCCATAAATTAGAACTGGATTTAGGTAAGTTTTATTCAACAGGTTCATGCTTGAGAATGAAAAATGAAGTTTTGGGGCTTCTCATATTTTTCTACTAAGTAAACATATATATAAATACATAGAGGACTATGTCAATATCCATATTGTCAAAAAGAACACATTACACGTTATACAAAAAATTTTAATAAACAACCTTATAACAGCTAAATATACAAAGGCAAATTTAATTCTTAAGAAAAATTATTAGTAAGAGAATCCTAGTAATAAATGTACTGAAGTCATTAGACTATCTTCAAAGAAAAATATTAATTAATGCCAGACTCTTATTAAAGTGCATAAAAAGCAAATTTATTTTAGAATTTATACCAAAAGCATTCAAAACACGTGTTATCATGGTACAGGAAGGCAGGAAACCCAGACTAACATCACTACAGCCTTGATCACTTGATGATAAAACAGCCCATAAAGTCTGCCTCTTCTTTTCTTTCTTTGGTACTGGAGATTGAACCCAGAGGTGCTGAACTACTGAGCCACATCCCCAGCCCTTTTTATCTTTTGTTCTGAGACAGGGTCTTAGTAAGTAGTACTTACTAAATAATCACAAAGTTGCTTAGGACCTTGCTAAATTGCTGAAGTTGGCCTCGAAATTGCAGTCTTCCTATCCCAGCCTCCCAAGTGGCTGGGATTACAGGTGTGTGCCACTACACACAGCATATATATAGACTGTGTCTCTTATTATGTGCTTTATAGTTTATCTCAAAAATTAAAAATTATGAGTAATTTTCTCTGTTGATAGCTTTATGTGTAATTGTGGCAACAAATAAAAATGTCTTAATTCTTATTTCACTAATTTCTTAAATATCATCTCACAAGAAATATCTGATTACCATTTTCAATAAAAAGTGATAATAGGATAGTAATAGTTCCAGACTTTTAAAACAAGTTAAATCATAAATATTCACTACACATAAAAATAAAGAAAAAAAGTAAATTTTAAGATATCTTTATTTAAAAAAAAAAATCGTGTATTTTGCAATAGTTAATGACAAATAGAATTAATAACTTGGATAGACAACTGATATACATTTACTTTAAGAAGACCACTGGATAAAGCAACTGAATTAAGAACTTTACGGAGGGTTGGGATATATAGCTCAGTGGTAAAATGCTTGCCTAGCATGTGCAGGGTCCTAGGTTCAATCCCCAGCACTGCTAAAAGCAAAAACAAAAACAAAAAAAAACTTTGTACAGAGATGCTAAAAGGACAGTCAAACCTATCACTTATTATCATATAGCCTTTTATAGAAAGTTGAACTGCTTTTTAAAAAATTTTTTATACCTTTATTCATTTATATGTGGTGCTGAGGATCAAACCCAGTGCCTCACATATGCTAGGCAAGCGCTCTACCACTGAGCCACAGCCCTAGCCCTGCTAGAGTCTTTTTAATGCTTACTTTTGCTCACATAAAACCTGTTCAATTTTTAAAAATAGGAGCATGGATTCACTCATTTATTACTTATTTTCAGTGGCCTCACACAATGATTCTCTCACTTAGGTTATTCACACATACACTGATGTTTTTATCACAATGAAAAGAAGTGGTCTCAGAAGATGGAATCCATTAAGAGGTTAGAAATAAATCTTCTGACCACTAAAAACAGTAACAGTGATAGAATGCCATTGTTAATTATAGAAAATAATCTGTATTGGGGCTCGGGATGTGGCTCAAGTGGTAGCTTGCTCGCCTGGCATGCGTGAGGCACTGGATTCGATTCTCAGCACCACGTAAAAATAAGGTAAAGATATTGTGTCCACCTAAAACTAAAAAATAAACATTAAAAAAAAAATAGATCTGTATCATAATACAGGGGTGCAAGAGAAAACATTTTTTAAATACCCAATACACTTCTGTAACAATAAATATTTATAAATTACTGAAGTACTTTCATATGAGCTCTGTTATTAATATTCATGCTTTTGTGGAATTACTGATTTCCTACTCTGAAGAAGTCTTTCCAAAAATTTCTGGGGAGTCTCAAATATCCCCAGCATCATGGGTAAACCACAAAAGTGGTAATTCACCAAAATGTATTTTTATATATGCAATTAATAAATCTTGTGAGGTTAATTCCTCCTAATATATTTAAAATAATTTCATTCACCTCTGAAAAATCATAATCACTTTGATTTTACTATAGTCCAAACCCTTAGCTATATACCTCTATGATAATTATTAGTGTAAAGAAAACCGAGTAAATTTTATATTCATATTTAAACTACTGAATACCTGTAAACAAAGTAGCATTTATTAAAATAGAATATACACTTAATTTATATTAAATCCAACTAAGATTTTTACAAGTTTTTCATCCTTAGACTTGAAATACACAAATCATGATTTTTTAAAACATTATCAGTCAGGTCTATACAAAATTGAAATAAGACATCCAAAGCAGATTATGATAATAATAATAAAAAAAAACAAACCTTCAAACAGCTAGTAATATATAATGTGTAAAATTTCAGTAAAACACAGGTATAATTCTTATGGAAATGCTAGTCCTATAATACAGAGCGATATTTACAAGCAAACATGATCCAAACAGCACATGCAGATTCGGGGTAAGTAAACACTCGGACACGAACTGCCAGTCGCACCTGGTCTCCACGGCAACAGATTATTTCTTCACAAAAAGGGGATCTATGTTAGAAAGAAAATTTACTCAATTAAGAAGTGACACAGGCTTTACTTTCTTATTTCCAACTAAGTCAGTATTTAATTATATAATAAGTATCTTAATATTTGATAAATCCTATCTCTGCTCAATAATTTTGGTTGGGCTATTCAAATTATGGACTATTTCCCCATAGTCTATACACTAGTCAAGATCAGAGATCCTCAACCAAAATCACTGAGGAAATTACCCCCGACTATTTAGGGCTACGTCAGACCTAACAAAATGTGTGGCAAGAAGGTCATTGTAAAAGCTCCCCAGATGCTTGTGTTGTGCTGTCACTCCTAATAACTACCAGACTAACTGGTTTCTAAGATTTCTAGGCAAAAAAAATTTTATAAATCCATAAATGCCACCTTACCGAAGACAGGTGGCAAATGCACGCCTTGCATTTCTATACACAAAATGTATAGGGAACCCTTTAAATGTGTGACCATCAGGTACCGCCCTCCTTATGGCATCCTGAAATTCTTCGTTGCCTGCAGATATACTTGTGGTGCGCTCAAATTCATAAGAAGCCAACGCTGGTGATAAAAGATAAGAAAGCTGGTCTTCCCAAACAGTCGTGAGGCCAAGATCCTACATATTCAAGAGGAAAAGAAAAAGTGAAGTGCATTAATATTATAAAAACCAAACAAAAATGTCAATTATTTTAATGGATGCCAAGAAAAGATTTTTTAAAGCTGCCATAGTTTTTGAAACTTCCTATTAATTATCCCAAGGATAAAGAGAGATAAAAAGAAGACAACTAAAGGTTATCAGGTTTTAATCCTTAAATAACGGAAAGACATTCAATACAATGATGTTCATGAAGGTTTTATGTCCTACACTTTTTTGTGTGGGGTACCAGGGATTGAACTCAAGGGCACTCGACCACTGAGCCACATCCCTAGCCCTATTTTTATTTTATTAGAGACAGGGTCTCACTGAGTTGCACAGAGCCTCACTAAGTCACTGACGCTAGCTATGAATTCAGGATCCTCCTGCCTCTGCCTCCTGAGCCACTGGGACTACAGGCAACTGACCGCACCTGGCTATATCCTCTATTTTTAAAACATCTACTACAAGTGGCCACCTGGAATAGTCCTAGTATGAAGACAAGTAGTGTCAATGAATTTGGAGACCATATTTATTTAAATTTAAAGAGTTTATAAGACTGAATCTGCCTAATTAGAATAAGTCATACTCCATGTATGTATAGTATGTCAAAATATACTCCACTGTCTCAGACATCTAAAAAGAACAACAAAGACTGAATCTGCATCAACTCACCTGCAGTGGGTGGGAGGGACAAATTAATGATACATGTAATTAAACTAAGTATCTACTGAGCACTTACTCTCCCAAAAGTTTTGAGTTTTATACTACAACAGAAAAAAAAGAACCAGCTAGGGGTCCTTACAGAGCTTAGAGCGTATATTTCCATGGAATAATAAAGGCAATTATGGTTTCCTTTATACATAACATGCGCATTAAAGAAACCTACATTTACAAACAAACTTTTCAGGCGGCTGGGGTTGTGGCTCAGTGGTGGAGCACTTGCCTAGTTTGTGTAAAGCCCTGGGTTCCATTCTCAGCACCACATATAAATAAATAAAATAAAGGTCTATTGGCAACTGAAAAAAAAATTAAAAAATAAAACTTTTCAAACTTCTAAATCTTTTGATTACCATAATGTAATGTGTCTTTATCAATTTCTAACTTCACATTCAAGATTTCTGCTCATCACAAAGGTTCATAATCAACTACATCTTGCCTGTGGCAAAATGGGAATCTCACTTGCTAGTTTACAGGTACCATTACAGACAATGATTGACACTGGCATCTATTTTGCCTAGATGGGTAGATGTAAAATGATACCCTCTCCCAGCAGCTCAGGAGGCTGAGGCAGGAGGATCGTGAGTTCAAGGCTAGCCTCAGCAACTTAGCCAGGTCCTAAGCAATTTAGTGAAACCCTGTCTAAATAAAAGTTAAAAAGAACTGGGGATGTGACTTAGTGGTTAAATGCCCCTAGGTTCAATCCTCAGTACCAAAAAAGAAAAGTACAAAACAGTTCAATACATGAACAAATGAAAAAGGTATAAACCTACAACTATTTTGGCATTAATTACCTTTCTGTGTTCTGACACTAGCAGCCTCAGCTGCATTTCTATTTCATTACTTGTGACAGATGCATCAATTGTGGATGCACACAGAGGTGGAAAGGGAGGAAGGGATGTTGTCGCTCCTGGGGCACACACAGATTTAATTGCTTCTTCACTCATGGGTTTCCATTTGGATTCATCATTCAAATCAAATATACAGGTTTCTACTGCATCAGAGGGTTGACAATTTCCAAGGAACATCTGATGATTGAAAACACAGCCAATCGTTCGATATGGGTACAATGGTTTGGCCTGTTCGGCAAGCGGAGGCTCATCAGGATTAATAGGTTTGTGAATATACCTAAAAAAAAATTAATTTATAAATTTACATAATGAGAATTTAAAAATTATAGGCAGTATCTGAGGAAAAAAATAGTCTAACACAAGACCATAACTCCTTCCAGAACTAGAGTTTAATACTTGTTTTTCCTTTATATACTTCCACAATCTGATTACTCTAAATTAACTACAAAGAACATCTTACAATATAGAAACCAAATTGTATTCACCTAACAATATGATATATTCTATGTCTATTGTCAATATCAAAAAAGTTTCTCTCAGATAATACAATTAAAATAATTTAGCAACATATTAGCAGGCATGAAATGATTATTGATGCAGGAGAAAGAAGACCCAAGGAAATGAGAAGGCAATCCAGGGATGTGTCTTTAAAACATTCACTATTTAAAGACGAGATGAAGGAAAACTGAGAAGAACATCCAGAATGAAAGAATGAAAACTGATAGGCAGTGATAGTGATAGCCATTGAAGATAAGGAGAGAATGTTCCAAGATAGAAGGAGTGCTCCAACTTCTTTTTAAAACCAAGACAGGCTAATGAACTGGAAAAAAAAAAAAAGTCCAATGGACTTACCAACATGGAGTTGGTGTCCACATCCAATTTTCAAAAGAATTCATGATTTACAACTTGAACTTATTTTCAGATTTAGGTATGATTGTCAGAAAAAAAGTGTGCCAATTACACATAGCTAAAAGTTACTATGATTTAGTTTTTACTAGTATAATGTCGGTAAAGACTTCTTTTCAGGGGCACAGACTTTCATATTGATTTTTTTTTTAGTTATATATGGACACAATATCTTTATTTTATATTTATGTGGTGCTAAGGATCGAACCCAGTGCCTCACGCATGTTACGCGAGTGCTCTATCTCTGAGCTACAATCCCAGCCCATACTGAAGTAATTTTTTATAGTCTCCAAAAATATTCTAATAACTAAAATTATAAATGTGTACCTTCAATACATCAATATGAACAAAAACCCTGTTTTAAAAAAATTTTTAAGGCTGGGGATGTAGCTCAGAGGTACAGTGCTTGCCTAATGTGCTGAGGCCCTGGGTTTGATGCCAAACGCTACAAAAATCAACTAATTAAAATACTGACACCTTCATTTTAAAATCCCTACAAACTGAGATGACTCACCTGTGTCCAGTTAAACTCTCCCAAAAAGTGATGGTTCCATCAGTTCCACAAGTCATAACCCATGCATGAGGTACTGCTTTTGCCTTAGTCCCTACACAGACAAAGGCTTCTAACCCATATCCAAGAAGAAGGCTGCACAGAAGGTTAGCATGATCTTCACAGTCACCCTACAGGATAGAATGAATTCAAATCAACTACTTATTCCCTTTTCAAAAATATTTTTTAGTTGTAGTTCGACAATACATTTTATTTATTTTTAAGTGGTGCTGAGGTTTGAACCCAGGGCTTTCATGTGCTAGGCGAGCACTCTACCGCTCAACCCCAGCCCAAGTACTTATTTCTTTATATTGTCACCTCACTTGATATTTATATGCAATATTAAAATCAAAATTTATCAAAATTTTTCGATTTTAATCACTAGACCAGTATTAAAATGAGAGAATGGGGGAAAACATACTAATTCTGGAAGGAAATTATTTTACATAATTAGTGTTCATGGAATGGGGAAAATGGCTCAGTGATACAATGCTTGCCTAGCTAGGATCCCCAGGGCCACAAAATTAATTAATTTTAAAAAATTAAGTTCTCACAGATATGATGTACACTTTAATAGGCAGCACTTAAGATTCAAAAGTTTATGAAGAACTCATACAATGTAGGAAGAAAGTCGGGAAGATTTTAATACATGAATGAATAGCTAAAGGACACGAATAAGCAAGCTAACAAATCATATAGCAAAAATAGTAAATAAATGGAACACACACCAATGATTTGTAGCATCTTTATATAATTTCAAGGAAATATATAGGAAAATTTGATTGGGAGAAAACACAAAAATGACAACAATGCCTATTATTAGTGTAGATTATACATCATTCTCCCTGTTTTCCAAATTCTCTTTGCTACATTTCACAATTTAAAAAAAATTATGAAGACTGCACACCGAAAATATCTAATATGTTCTGAGAAAAACTCTATAAAAATAATATGACTACATTATGTAAAGATATGTATTTATATATGGAATACTACAGGTAACACACAAAAGTGAAAATAACTTTTTGTTGCTGTAGTACTGGAGATGAAACCCAGGACCATGGGCATGCTAGGCAAGTGCTCTACCAATAAGCTACATCCCCAGCCCTGAAAATAACTATTGAGTTGAATGCTAAAATGAAGAAGGCCTCCTTTCCCCTCAAAATTTTAAATTAGTGGCTCTGCATTGTTTGTTTTGCGGTGATGGGGATGGAACCCAGGGCTTATGCATTCTAGGCAAGTACTATTTTATAGTTAGTAAATTGACTTTACACAATTTTTTAGACCCATACTTTCTATCCTGAGGTTTGGTAAAAAAACAAAATTCACACACACAGAAAAAAAAAAAAAAAAATCAATGCAAAAATTTATTCATAATATCAAAAAGCTAGAAGCACAAGTTGGCCAAAAGAAACAGTTCCTACAATGGAGAAATAGGTAGATTTTATATATTGACTCAAGAAAATGTGAAATAACCATTAGAAGTTGGAAATCACAAAAAAATACCAATATATGAAAAAAATGTTCATAGCATAATGTTAAATTATAAAGCAAGATAGTTTCATTTCTACTTATGGAAATTTATAATTGTGGAAAAAGTAATATCTACTAAAAAAAAACCCAAAATATGAAGAAATTGTAAGTTTGGAAAAGAATTATGGGTTTCTGAAGTTTCACCTTTACTATTGTAAGGCTTGTTTGTAAAAGACTACTCTAATTTTCAAGCTTCTCCTTTTTAAGATATACTTTCTCTTTAAAAATAAAACAGTCAAGGGATGGGGTTGTGGCTCAGAGGTAGATCTCTCGCCTACCATGCATGAGGCACTGGGTTCAATCCTCAGCACTACATAAAAATAAAATAAAGATATGGTGCCTACCTATAACTAAAAAATAAATATTTAAAATAAATAAATAAAACAGTCAAAGCTGGCTTGGTAGTATATGCCCTAATCCCAGTAGCTCAGGAGACTTGAGGCAGAGGATCCCAAGTTCAAAGCCTCAGCAACTTAGCAAGGCCCTGAGCAACTCAGCAAGACCCTATCTCAAAAACAAAGGCAGGGTGGGGTTGGGTTGGGGATATGGCTCAGTGGTTAAGCACCTCTGAGTTCAATCCCTGGTACCAAAATAAAAATACTCAGAAGAGTGATTATTTGCTTTACAAAATAATTATAGACACAACTGTAAATATATTATTCCTATTATATTTGAAAATTTTTAAAAGTCCATAAATATATAACATTTGGGAACTAGACCTTGGAAACAAATCTAACCTTTTTTGCTAAGTAAAATTAAATGTTTTTTTAACTGTCTTTAAGACACAGTCTTAGCCAAGACTGGTGGCACATGCCTGTAATCCCAAGAACTTGCCAGGCTGAGGCAAGAGGATCCCAAATTAGAGACCAGCTTCAGCAACTTGGCGAGATCTTGTCTCAAAAAATGAAAAAGACTAAAAGGCAGAGCACCTCCTGCTTCAATCCCAGACTACAAAACAACAAATGAAAAACCCCACATAATTTCTCTGTCATATCAACATCATCCAAATGTTTCTTCCACAGTTTGAGTTTATTTAGACTACCATACTATTTATACAACCTCAGAATAAGCAAAATTATTTCCAAACAATAATAGATGAAGGTAAGTTCTCTTTTTTCCTGTTTCAAAACAATTAAATGTTATAGTGTTATTTCTTCATTATATTATCATCATTTTTAGAATTCAGACGACTAGGGAACATCCCATGATATATTTAATTTATCAAAATTGAGTCATTAAAAAAATTTAACATTAACAAATTTATTCTACATGTCTTTAATACTGTGTTTAAAACTAAACAAAAATACCATGTAATCCAAGTTTTTTTTTTCCCATATTCATTTTGTACTGCCATTTTCCCTTTAAAAATATGCAATATTACCCGAGCAAAAGTTAACCCAAGAATTGTACCAGCAGACCATAGTTCTGGTCACAGTGCTTTCTCAAATTCACTCTATAGCTTGGTTTCTGACTACTACTTAACATGTCCCTACCTTGTAGAAATCACCATAAGTTACATAAGAAACTGTGAGAAAACAAAGACGTTAAGTGTCTTTACGTATTGAGACACTTAAAATGTTTATGGCAAATGGCGAGAACAAGATTTTCTTATTCAAACTGACAGTACGTACATTTTTTCTAAGGTCATTCTTTTACAAGTGTACTGTAAGTCCAGAATAACTATGATGTACTTGCTATTTAATTCTACTATGCGTGTATGATACCTTGTTTCTACAGAGAAAGGCCAGCAGAGTGCACCATTGTTCCTGTTTACCTCCTCCTCCAATAACAGGAGCTCGTTCATAACCAAGGACATTAACGAATCTTGCTGCCTGCCGTGGAGTATCCAGAAGCCGGCCAGCTCGAAGTGGTTTAATGTAGGAACAGACGGGTCTATTTACTCCATTTTCATCCTGGAAGAAAAGGATGAAAACATCATCTATAATGACAGATTGTCATCCCCCAATTTTAACATCTTTTGTTTTTTTTTAATACATGAGTATGAGCTAAAATAACTCTGGATGTCATTTACTGTTAATCATAAATCCAGCACTATGCTGCTAAGCACTATTCATATAATCTCTTTTAATTCTCATCTATATTATTTTCATTTCATATTTAAAAAAACAGAAGGTACAACTATCACACAACAGAGTCAGGATTCAAACCCTAAACTGTCCGACTCTAAAGCCTAAGACAGCCAGGAGTGGTGGCACACACCTATAATCCCATGGGCTCAGGAGGTTGAGGCAGGATGACCATAAGTTCAAAGCCAGCCTCAGCAATTTAGCAAGGCCCTGAGCATCTTAGCAAGACCCCCATCTCAAAATGAAGAGTAAATCAGGGTGGGGATGTGGCTCAAAGGTTAAGTGCCCCTGGGGTTTAACCCCTAGTACCTACCACCACCATCAAAAGCAAAGCCTATAACAGTAAGAATTGATCTGAAAAAACAGTGGGCAGACAGGTACAGTAGGGATAGAGGGTCTAAGCTAAAGTACTATTTATATTACCAAACAATTTAATATGTATCCTAACAAACAACAATTCTGATTGGCTGCTTATTTCTAATTTGTTTTTATTATAGCATCCCACTTCAGAGATCCAGAAAAATAGCCATTTGTTAACCAAGTCAACCGAAAGCACAATTTTAAAAAACATTTTAGGAAAATGTCTTTCATTCTAGCTCTTAATACTTGTGGTTAATAACTATTATTGTGTATAGCAGTCTTTAGAGACTGACGGGAGATTACATCACCAAGCACACACATTCCTTAACTTCACAGTTATGCCGCAGCATGAGAAAGGGCCAACAGCTGGTCAGGGTCTAGAGACCCCACACCCTTGACCAAGGCAGGGATCCTCAGGAGACAAAACCCAACTCAGCCAACAGGAACACTACCTGCTCCAACCATCAGAACTGCTGATCTCTCTACATCACAAAGACATCATTTCTCCAGAATAATCCTCACTCAGCAAGGAAAGAAACCTTACTTATCACTTATATTTGATCATTATACACACCTGACCATAAATTGTAACACAATCCAGAGTAAAACAACTTATTATTTTCACTCGTTCTGGTAGTTCTCAACTCTGATTGCCACCAAATTCTAAAACAAAATCATGATTCTAATTAGGGGGAAAGTGGAAAACTATTATTTGATTTTCTTTTACATTAATTCAGCATTACTAATTTGTGTAGTATAATATTAAGTCCTGAAATCACAAGCAGAACATTAAAAGGATATCCTCAAGCAATTATAATATTTTCTTAAAAAATTATTAGCCCTAAGTTTCAATTTCTATAACTTATTTTAAAATTTCTTGCACTAAAAATTTCAAAAGGTGTCATTAAATGAACTAGTGAGGGAGGAAAAGAACAAAGGATTACCAAGTATATAATGACCCTGATGGGTCCATAGATCTTTGGTTAGAATGAAGGTAATGAACCCAGTTATGTGTGGGAAGTCCTATTCTTACATAGGCACTAATGACAAGAAAAGGTTGAGTACCTAAACAACAAATTTATCTGCCATCAAGAGTAGCATCTTGGAATACAAGATATATCATCATGTTTCATTATAATATTTAATATATTACCTATATATCCCCATATTATTTAAGTCTTGAAAATTTCAATATTTCAACTTCTCAATCTGCACAATAAGTTTTTCCCATTTTTAAAATTATTGATTTTAAAAAATTTAATACATAAGAATTGCACACATCTATACATATCTCATTTACTATTTTAAAATTTTTTATAGTTGTAGATGAACAGCATGCCTTTATTTTATTTATTTTTTTTAATGTGGTGCTGAGGATCGAACCCAGTGCCTCACACGTGCAAGCCAAGCACTCTGTCACTGAACTATAGCCCCAGCCCTCATTTACTACTTTTGTGGTGAAAACATTCAAAATCCTTTCTTCTAGCTTTCAAAAATTTACAGTACATATTATCTGTAGTCAATCTACTGTGCAATAGAACACCAGAACTTTATTCTAAATTTTAATTAACTAAAATTAAATGAAATTTCAGTTTTAGTTGCATTAGCCACATTCTGAGTTCTCAACACATGGCTGGTAGATCCCATAGCAGACGTAGAACATTGCCATCTCTGCAGAAAGTGCTACTGCATAGTACTACTGGAAATTTATTTCCTCTTGGGCCTGGAAGGAGCAAATTCTTTTTCAGACCATGTATAATTTTCTGGATTAAAACTATGGTTTTAAGTGGGGCAGGTGGTAAATGTCTATAATCCCTATCACTTGAGAGGCTGAGGCAGGAGGATTTCAAGTCTGAAGCCAGCCTCAGCAACTTTGCAAGACCCTATGCAATTCAGTGATAGCTCAGTAGTTAAGTGCCACTGGGTTCAACCAAAACAAAAACAACAACAAAACAACTAAAAGAGAATAGAATCATGGCATTTGCAGGTAAATGGATGAAGCTGGAGAATATAACGCTAAGTGAAGTTAGCCACTCCCAAAAAACCAAATGCCAAATGTTTTCTGATATAAGGAGGCTGATTCATAATGGGGTAAAGGGGAGATAGGGCAAAGGGGAAAGAGGGGAAGGGAGGGAGCATGGGGATAAAAAAGATGATAGATTGAGATGGACATCATTACCCTAAGTACATGTACAAAGACATGAATGGTGTGAATGTACTTTGTGTATAACCAGAGATATGAAAAATTGTGCTCTATATGTAATGTGAATTGTAATGCATTCTGCTGTCATATATAACAAATTAGAATAAAAAAGTAAAAATAAATAAATAAAACAAAACAATATGCAAATTAATATAGACTCTGCCAGGACCAAGTTGCCATTTGATCTTAAAAAATTCCAATCCCTTAATTTCCTTAGCTGCACACCAACCTCCTGTTCCTTGTTCCCCGCCCCCACCCGTGCTGGGGATCAATCCCAGGGCTACCTGTTACCTACTACTATACTATTGCTGAGCCACATCCCTAGCCCATTCCTCCTTTCTCTGTGATATATCATTTATCTGATCCACTTCTTGAGTCCTCTCTGGTCTCAGATTCCACATCAGTGAAAATCTGCAATTTGACTAGAAAACAGGAAGATAAGTCATATTTTGATTGTGGTTTCTCCATGCCCTTGTGCTGATTCAGCACTACCTTGCCTACCCGGTCACTGAAAGCACTGACAAAATGCCTCTGTAAAGTCTGAAGCCATTTCCCTCATTCCCACCACTAGACAACCAGGGACTCTCATTCCCAAGCTTCCCATCTAGAAATTAAACCATTTTTCATTTGTCCCAACATCTAGGGAGAACAGGGTAAAGCTAGGATCTAAGAAATATAATTCAAAGCAATATTACATTATAATTATACAGAAGCATTTATATAAGGTTAAACATATGTGAAAGATTTGAATGTCTCCTCAAAAGTTACAAAAAGTACAGGATCTCACTATATGCTTTATACTGACTTGTTAAAAAGAAAATGGGGGTTAGGGTTGTGGCTCAGTGGTAGAGCACTTGCCTAGCAAGTGTGAGGCACTGGGTTCGATTCTCAGCACCACATATAAACAAATAAATAAATATAGGTCCATCAATAACTAGTAAAAATTTTAAAAAAGAGAGGGGGCGGGGGAATGGGCTTAAGATTTGGGAAAACAGAGGCAGAGATCTATACAAATAGTCCCAGGCTTAGGATGATTTGACTTAACAATTTTTCAACTTTAGATAGTGTGAAGCTATGTGCATTCGGTAGAAACCATACTTCATTTTCAATTTTGAGCTCCAGACTAGAAATATGCAGTATGATACCATCTCTCATGCTAGGCAGCCACAGCTCTCAATCAGCCACATGACTACTGACACTCTACTGTGTTGCTAAGCTGTGATGCACAGTATGTTAGATGTATTAAATTTTCAACTTCTGATGGCTTTATTTTATCAGGATGTAATCCCAATTGTAAGCCAAGAAGCATTTGTTGTTGGAATTCTGCAGCTGAACATCAGTAGTCACTAAGTTAGAGATCTTGATTATACAGAATTATTGCATGTGACTTTAAAAAAAAAAAAAAAAACCCTAACAAAAATAATTTATGTCCAGAGCCTCTGTTCTGCACACAAGAGCTGCACTTATAGAAATCCATTCATGATACTTAGAAGTTAATTATCTAACTTCTAAGTATCATGAATGGGTTTATTCCAGGTTAAATAAAACAGATTTTCATCTACTTAAAAATTAAATAAATTCAGAAAAGGTTTTAAGAGCCTAATAAAAAATTGAAAGCAAAATAAAACAAAGATTGTGTTATGCCACTCACCTACTCAATAAAAGAGATTTACAAAGTCAGCATTGCATTTTAGAAAAGCAAATTAAATAAATTTATATATACAATACTAACTACCATATGTACAAAAGAAACTTTTCTGATATATAATTTACAAACCTGTGCAAAAATTTTCACTAGCCGTGAGTTGTGTGAGGGTCGAATTTGCAAATATTCTCTCCACCACTGCTTGGCATACACAAGAAATAATCGCTCTTTCTCTGCAGTTTTCTGACGTTCCAAAGCAAGCTTAAAATTTAAAAGAAAAATATATATTTTTTTCAATTTCTACTCCATCTCCTTGATTATCACAATACATATCTATTTCCCATTACCATATTTGCAAGAGCCTGCATACTTCCTTGTTTCTATGACTAGCCATATTATTTGGTCTCCACAACATAGTCAAGTGATCTTTTTTTCTTCCAAGACAGAAAATTGTAAACAATAAATCATATTGTCACTTCCTTGTTTAAAACACTTCAGTAATTTTCTAACACACTCTAGAGTACTTGCATGGGCTTCCAAACTCTGCTATCCACCTCATTTTCTTCTCTTGCCCCATCCACAAGGGGCCCTTGATTCTATTCAGGGACTTCTGCTTTAAGCTACTGTTCCCCCTGCCTGGAATGTTCTGGCCTGGTATGCTGTTCTTGCCATCTGGACCTTTTTCCCTCTCCTAATCACTTGACCTAAATCAGACTCCTAGTATCCACTCTACTGCACACTTCACCCCATGAAACTTTTCCACCTAACACCTTCTACTATCTGGTACTTTGTTTATGGACTCATTTTTACTGCTGGTCTTCTCACCAGAATCTAGGCTCCAAAAACAAGCTGTCTGCCTTGTGTACTGCTGCATCTTCAGCATCTAGAAAAGTGTCTGGCCCTTTTTAATATCTGTTTAAGATCAATAAATATTTCTGACTAGAAAATTTTAATATAATCTTAAAGAGAAGTCTGGGAAAGTTAGAAAAAATATATGAAATAAGAAAATAAACTTAGGCTACAGTCATCAAAAAACAAACATAAGAGCAAAAACATTAGAAATGTTTATAAAACAATGTTAAACACTAGAGCTGTTGGGACTGGGGATATAGCTCAGTGGTAGAAGTCTATACGGCCTGAGGTTTGATTCCTAGTATGCGTGCACGTAGGCAAACGCATGCAAACACCAAACCCATTTATTTGTCAACATAATAAACAAAAGAAAAAAGTAAAACCCAAGTGTTTACTTCCTTATGTATCATATAAACTTACAAAAAACATAATTAAAACTCATACATAATCTATGTATATATACACATTTCTATTCATTTACAAGTAACATCAGGTCAGTTCCTACTAAGTGTTATGTAACATATAATTCAGATGCCAGATTAAAGGGAGATAAGAGTTCAGAACTAAGAAGCTGTTTCAGGAAAGCAGAGTAGGACACTGTTTACCTGGGGGAGAGGGGTTAGCACTGTAAAACTAAGAAAGCAAAAATATAACAAACCTCAAAAAGCTCAGTGATAGAGCACTTGCCTAGCATGTACAAGGCTTTGGGTTTGATCCCCAGCATTGCAAAAAATAATAGTAAAAATAAAAATCAACCCCCCCCAGCCAAAAAAAGATAAATAAAACTAAGTCACCAGAACACTATAAATAGAACAATACAAAGGGGCATGACTGAGTAAAAGCACAATTTCAGGACCAAAGTATGCAGTCCAGGAGAAATCATGCCAAAAGGCGGCAGATGATCATAACCTGCAAAGTAAGAACAGGGTGGCATACCCCCCTGAAGGGGTGGAGAAACCTACTAATCTCAAGACCTAAGAAGAAAGCAGCAGAGATCTGAGATCTGAAAGGGTTTTAAGAGCCTAATAAAAAATTGAAAGCAAAATAAAACAAAGATTGTGTTATGCCACTCACCTACTCAATAAAAGAGATTTACAAAGTCAGCATTGCATTTTATAAAAGAGATCAGACAGCAGAGTTAGGGAAGAATGCCTCTTCAAACTTTCCAGAAGCAAGTGCTGAGTACAGAGCAAAAACTGCATGACACCAATCTCTCAATAAAAGTCTACAAAATGAACAAACCACACCCACTGAGGCTACTCCTTTATGTCGTTTCAAACATCCATTACATTTCCCAAAATATACCACAGATTTCCCTAGAAAGCAATCTTTGTCATTTTCTTTCTCAATTCTTTTACTAACCTTTGAGTACTAATTTAAAAATGCATGGCAATTTCCAAAAAGGGAGTACTTTCTAGGATCAACAGGTAAATATACTACAATAAAAACAAATATACCAGGAGAAACTAGGAATTACCTGTGTGTTCACCACTTCTTGAGATAATGTCTGATTAAGTGGTGGATACATTTCAAGTTTTATATTTAAAATTCCCACAGAAACTTTTGATTCTGTGCCTATAAAGATAAATAAAGATTTAGAACTTCACAAGTTTCAATACTATGTGTAGTCAATCAAAGTGTAACCAAAATAACTTAGCTTGGTGTTTTCCACTTAAATGGAATAAATATTCAATTTAAATATTAATATTCACATAAAAAATGAACTTTTTTTTAACACAAAAATGTTTACATTTTAAGATTTTTCTGATCTAATGAATTCAGGATTCTTAATTTTTTATCTTTATTAAATGCATTTTACCAACCAGACTTACATTAAATATAAAGTCAATGCAATACCTCATTCTGTCTCCATGAAAAAAAAAAAAAAAAAAAAAAGAATTTTTTGTGTGTCATAAAGAAATTCTCATTTATCCTTTCTTATTATCACATCACATAGGAATACAAATTTTCAATCCATGTCTAGATGTAAAGAATTAGAAAACAAATGTACTTCATAACCAAAGTATTTAATATTGCTTCAGGAAATCAATATGCTTGTTTCCAGGTCATTACTATGATTATCATGTTAGGCCTATTTTTGAAGACAAATAACTGGGAATTTTTATTTTAATAAATTTCCTATGTAAAAAACACATTTTTTCTTCTACTTTTTATTTAATGAAATATATATTCTAGGTCTGGTTTAAAATCCAAATCATTACTAAAGCTATGCTGTCCACTGGTCAGATTTAACTCTGTGAAGAAGTGTCAATATGAAATTCCATTCTATGTCAGGCAAAAAACATTGGTAGGTTTTAGATTTTTGGTTTTTCCATTTTATTAGCAAAAATAATGTTACATAACAGGCATCACGCAAGATTCCAAGGAATAAGACAGGCATAACTTTGCCCTGAAGGACAACTATTCATTAATAATATAATTAATTTAATACTGAGCAAGTAGTTATTACCTCCTTCCAAGTCTCACTAGTCCACTGTAAAATGCTGAGAAAAAAATCTACTCCATATATTTTTTTTAATATTTACTTTTTAGTTGTAGTTGGACACAATACCTTCATTTATTTATTTATTTATTTATCAATTTTTCATGTGGTGCTGAGGATTGAACCCAGGGCCTCACACGTGCTAGGCCAGCACTCTACCACTGAGCCACAATCCCAGCCCTACTCCATATTCTTTAGGAGTCACTGGTACTGACTAGATGCACTGTATTCCAGGATATGCTAAAGAGGAATAAGCTTTTTGCACATGTATATTTGTGCATGCCAAAAATCTTATGTTTCTTTATAGTCTCATACTTATTTAAGCAAATGAAAATAAATTAAAAACCTTCCAAATTTCTGTATTCGTTTTCCAGAAAAACATTTTTCTTAAGACAAGGCCAGCCTCATCAGTGCTATACTGGTATTGTTTGTCAAAAAGTTCCCAAAGATCACAACTGGAACGCTAATGAAATTCCATTTAAGCCAACATAATGGCACACATCTGTAATCCCTGTGGCTCAAGAGGCTAAAGCAAGAGGATTCCAAGTTGGAGACCACCTCCTCAGCAACTTCACAAGGCCCTAGGCAACTCAGTGAGACTCTTGTCTCTAAATAAAAAAAAATATTTTAAAAAGGGCTGGGGATGTAGCTTAGTGTTTAGGCACCCCTAGGTTAAATCCCAAGTACAAAAAAAAGAAAAAAGAAAGAAACTCTACAGGCTTCCTTCCCTCTTGGCTTATAAGGAAGGCATCTTTGAAATAGAGGTATAAATGTTTTTACCAACTGTGCCTATAAAAAGGTAAGAGTGACACCATACCTACACCCATAAGCTCCACAGTCAGATTGGTTACTCCATTTTCTGAACCCAAAACTGATCGCCATTCCAGAAAATAGGATGCTACTAAGGTGGTCTCACCAAATATGTCAGTTTTGATTAGCACCATATGAATTGGATCACTTATTGATAACATTGTTGTTGAATCAGCCATTCTAGTTCCATCGCCTAGCAACATAAATCAGAAAAAAAAAAAAATCAAGTTACATATTCATTTAGGCCAATATAAAAGAAAACTTACTGAAAATTATACTAAACTAATACAAAACCAAATAGAATAACTTTGTATGTCTTGGAAAACATGCCAAAGGCTGGGAATAAAAATAGTTTTATCACTAGCTTCTGAGAGGATGGCAGAATTGTGATGAGTCATTTAGTTACTTAATACATAGTCAGTTCTTTCTAACCCATAAACAATGAGTTTGTTCTTTATTTATATGCTAATATGATAAAATGCCATTAAATAACATCATTTTTAAACTACCTTTACCCTTCTTCAAAAAAAAATTTTTTTTTAATTATCTTCACAGCAAGAATCTTACTCTTTTTTTGGGGGTACTGGAGATTGAACCCAGGGGCACTTTACCAATGAGCTGTATCCCCAGTCCCTTTATTATTTTGAGACAGAATCTAGATAAGTTGCTGAGACTGGCTTTGAATCTGCAATCTTTCACATCAGCCTTCGAGTCTATGATTATAGGCATGCACCACTGTGCTGAGCTACCTTGCTCTTCAACCTCCTGATATACCACTGTATTATCTACAGAAAACTCAAAGATGTAAAGCCTTGGATCTAGCAATTTATCTCATTAACTGCCTTATTAAGTAACATTGTTCATACGGAAAAACAATTTATGAATGCATTATCAATCTTAAAATCTAAACTTATGAAAACATAATTCTATAACTTTGCTTATTTTATAAATACAAACAACCAAAGTGTATAAAATGCCTTTATAGGCCATGCATGGTGGCACACACATGTAATCCCAGCAGCTCAGGAGGTTGAGGCAGGAGGGCCCCAAGTTCAAAGCCAGCGTCTGCAATTTAATGGGGCCCTAAGCAACTTAGGAACACCCTGTCTCAAATAATACATAAAAAAGGGCTGGAGATGATCCCCATTACCCACCCTCCCCTCAAAAAACAACAAAAACAGCAATATGAGAAGAGAGAGATTCATCCGTTAAAAAAATCTCTCCTTACGAAGTGTGGTGGCACATGCCTGTAATCCCAGCATCTCAGGAGGCAGAGGCAGGAGGATCACAAATTTAAAGCCAGCCTCAGTAATTTAATGAGACCCTGTCTCTAAGTAAAAATATTAAAAAAGGCCTAGGGATGTGGCTCAGTGGTTGAACCCTCCTGGGTTCAATCCCCAGCACAGAAACAAATAAAAAAACTTATAGGGAAAGTTATAGTTTTCTGCAATAAAACCTGACAAAGATTTATTCAATTGAATGTATTTCCCATCCTTACCTAAGCTTTCTCTGTGTACTTCAAGTAAAAAGCCATCATGAAAATCAGGTTCACAGGCACATGGAACAGGTTTAGAACGAAAACGTTGGTTCCGATAATGTAAACATAAAGTAAAAGTTGAACAAACTTGTCCAGGTAAAGGCTCAGGTTCTTGAAGATGTTCCAAGAAAGCTTTTCCACCCAAAACCTGAAGGTAAAGATACCTCCGTGTTGGATCAATATTAGCTGTAAAGTGTAGCAATATATATGAGGAAACTGCCAAATAACTTAGACTGTGATCAAGACATAAGGAAACAATAACTTGACTGAAATAAAACCAAAGACTAAAAAAGAGAGCAACAAATTTACTATGGAGCAGATGATTTGCACTCTGGGACGAAAAAGATACATAATACATATCCTTTTCTGAGTTTATATCCTGGCTACTTTCTCCCAGCTGGAAAGGAGTTAACAGTCAAGATTTTCTGTACCTTGCTTTTTTAGTTGCTTATACAACATTCCTCACCCCATAAACCAACTCAGACAGTTATCAACTTAGCATGTGTTTTGTCAATTATATTACTGTTAGAAAAGCAAAGTTGTACTGTTTTTATAAAATCATACTAAAACACAAGAAACTAGAGTTTCTTGTTTCATGTCCTGTTTCATGTGCTACATATGATACACTACATACAAAATGAAATCCAAGTTTAGACAAACTAACCATCAAATTTTGTTTCATTTTTTAAAAAAATATTTTTATTTGCTTTTCTGTGTCTGTCTTTTAAAATATTTTTTTAGTTGTAAATGGACACAATATCTTTATTTATTTTTTTAAAAAAATTTTTATATTTATTTTTCAGTTTTTGGCGGACACAACATCATTGTTTGTATGTGGTGCTGAGGATCGAACCTGGGCCGCACGCATGCCAGGCGAGCTTGCTACTGCTTGAGCCATATCCCCAGCCCCAATCTTTATTTATTTTTATGTGGTGCTGAGGATCAAACCCAGTGCCTCACACATGGGAGGCGGGCATTCTACCACTGAGCTACACCCCCAGCCATAAGGGTTTCACTTTGAAAAATAAATACTGATTTTTTTTCTATCAAACACTGTAGTAATATTAAAAAATATATACATACTTTTTTTTAACGTTGATTGTTTATCAAAACCAACAGGTTGTTTTGGAGAGGAAGGAAGTTCTTGATCAACATTTTCCTAAAAAGGCAGAGAAAAAAAATCAAAACAAATTAGAAAACAAAAATCATAGGTAAGAACATGCCAAGCATTGAAATCAAAAACAGTTAGGATAATAACCTTTCAAAAATAAAATAAAATAAACCGATTTATTTTCCTAGCATAATGAAAATAAATACCTATAAATATCTCATAAAAGACAGCAAAACTGGTTATTCCTAAAGTCTAAATTGTCTTACCATTCACAGAATGTGACAAAACAAATCCTTAACACCTTACACAAGGTTAAACTTTCTCTAAACCTTATATAACACTGGCTTAAGATTCCACCATGAACTGGTTTTAATATAACATTCATATAGCAGTAGCTTTTACTAGGTCAATTTTTTAATAAATGGGTTCCATAAGCCTCAAAAACCAAAAAAGGATGCAGTATGAACAGACTTAATTCCCTGATGTATTATGAAATTCATTCTATTTTTACATTATATTACCCAGGTATTGAGGTCACAATTTCTCATTACTGTCCCATTTTCAAAAGAGGGCTTACTTAATAATATACCAAGAGGCCTATCACTCAGTTTTGACCTATATGTGTGAAAAGATTTGAGAGCTCTTATTGAGTCAAGTATTTTCTTAAAAAAATTCCTAGGTGTATTTTCTTTAAAATAGTTTAACCTAAAATGTTATAAAACAATCCTAGAAAGCATGTGTAGTTCAGATTACTGATCTAAAAGAATACAAAATCCTGCTATGCACAGAAAGAAATATGGTAACTCAAATTTCACTGATATAAAATACTATTTGCCATACTGAACGCTGAAACAAGGCTATTAGTAGACACAATGACCTTAAAGTGACTTCACTCAATCAGGAGAGGCACCCAATACAGACTGAAGTGTTATGCACGATCAATACATTGTCAAATTTTCCCCCTAAAATTTAACTCACGGTAACAAAATTAAGTTCTTTCATCACATCATCAATGATTCCTCGACGTCTAAGGGCTTTTATCAAATCTTCGGTCGACAAATGTTGCTGATCCGGTGCCAATTCTTCCCGTATGGTCTCAGCAAGGATTTCTCTTATTCTGCCATGGACATCCATCTACGCAGAAAATTCGAATTGTAACTCACATCATCACAAAGCAGTTAAAACTTGCTTCTCGGGTTTGCGGCTTCCAAAACTATCAGTAAACGTACGGCTCTGACCGCAACTGAACGAGAAAAGGAGACTTTTTAAAAAAGAACTCTTCGAGCACGCCTTCCAGAAAGTGTCGCTGCAGTTCCCCCCGTTCCCCTCCGCCACCTCCCGAGGGCCGGCGTCCGGGTTCGCCCCGCAGCCCTGCACCCGGAGGCCCGCAGACCGGCAAGGCACCCGTGCCCGCCGCCCGGTCGGAGACGCAGCACCAGAGCCGATCCAGGGCTCACCCAGACCGACTCAGACCGACCCAGGACAGGGCGAGGGTCGCCAGACGCCGGCCCAGGCTCGGCCCGCGAGCGCAGGGCCACGCAGGCCATCCTCCGGAGCTGGGGAGGCGCGGGAAATGCGAGAGGACCTGCCCCAGGCCGGTCCGCGCCGGGGTCGGAGGGCGCCCCGGGGTCCCCCCGCCTGGACCCACCCGGCCGCCCCGCCGCCTCGGCACCTTGCTCAGCTGCTGGTGGATGAGCTGCTTCAGCTCCGACGCCTTCTCCGGAGGCAGCGACATGCTGGCAGCGGGCCCCGGAGCGACAGTGGCGGCTGCAGCACCAAGCGGCTCAGCCGCCCGCCTCGCGCGGATCCCGAGGGGCCCGACGCCGCGACTGGCTGACCCGGCGCTGGGCGGGAACCCGGCTGCCGCGGCGCCGCCGCCAACTGTTTTCAAACGGCGCCGGACCCGGGGTTGCCCGCCGCGCTGCCTGATCCTCACTCGCCGCCCGTCCTCCCACAGGGCCCGCCCCCGCCGCCGCGCCTGGCCGGGGCTCCTACGGCGAGGCCCACCGCTTGTCTACCCCCGGCCGCCTCTTTGCGCGCCGCGCGCCGGCAGGAGGCTGGACAGCCTCTCAGGACCCGGCGCCAGGGGACTCGAAGGACCCAGGTCGCGTCGCGCGGGACCCCTGGGATCTGCGAGGCCCCGCGCCGCTCCCGCGCCCGCGCCTTCCTGAGGCCTCGTTCTCTCGCGCCCGCGCGCAGCCTCCCTGCCCGCCCACCGCGGTCATGTTTGTTCCCTGCGGGGATTGGGTGCCTGACCTGACGGGCTTCACCCTGCTGATGGTAAGTGTGCGCGCGCGCGGATTGCGGCCCCCCGGAGCGACCCCACCCGGGGGCCCCGCGGGGCCGCGGCAGGGCGGAGGCGCGCGTCTTTATTTCAGTGTTTGAGACCGAAATAATAATGGGGAGGTGGTCGCGGAGGGCGGCGGTCGCGCGAGGCGGCGGTCGGGAGCCAACCTTTGTCCGCGCTGGGAACCGACGTTCGCGGGCCGTCTTTGTTGCCCGCGAAATGTAAGAGGCCTGCGAGGGACAGTCGGGGACCGCGCACGGCGGGCCGCGCATCCCTGCAGTGTGTCCTCAAAACACGTGCTTTAGGTCGCTCCTCGGCCAGCACCTCATCGTTAGAACCACTGTTAGGTAACAAGAGAGCTGTCAGGCGCCAATGCCAAGTTCTGTTCCTCCTAGAGCTGCCGTATTTCGATTTGTTTCCGTGAACGTACTACTTGGTGCTGCTGATGTTAGAATAATAGGTGCTGTCCTCAGAGAGCTTACTAGCTAGCTGGAAATCCTCACCAGTTAATACTGGGATCAGAGCTTGACAACGAGAGAGAAAGGCCTTAGGTGATTGACAGAGAGAGGGACACAGGAGCTTGTTAAGAAAATCTGTGTAGCGCGCTCAGCGGCTGGGGAGGCAGAGGCAGGAGGATCGCGAGTTCAGAGCCAGCCTCAGCAACAGGGAGACACTAAGCAACTCAGTGAGACCCTGTGTCTAAATAAAATACAAAAAGGAGCTGCGGATGGGCTCAGTGGATGAGTTCAATCTAAAAGTCAAGCTGTGTGGAGGGGCTGGGGCTGAGGCTCAGTGGTAGAGCGCTTGCCTACCTTGAGTGACGCACTGGGTTCCATTGTCAGCACCACATATAAATAAATATAATAAAGATACATTGACAATTAAAAAAAAAAGATGGGAGAGGGTGCATTTCTGAAAGATGGATGCTAAAAGCAGAGGTGCATAAGCACTGGGGACTGCAAAGAGTTTGGAATGAAACGTTGCGAGAGAATAAGCTGGGGTACCTGTGAACCCAGAATGTAGCACTGAAAAATGCACTTTTTGGAGTGGTGTAATGCTTGAAGTGACAATAGCTTTCTTTTATTCATAAAATATCAAACATGTTAAGGATTTGATACCAACATGTAAGTTAGAGGGGTCACCTGGGCAAACAGTTATGGATGGGGTGGCAAAGAAGGAAGCTGTCCTGGGGTGAGTTCAGTAGGGAGAAGAGGAGGTAGAGATTGTAGGTATATGTGTAATGGGCTCACTTGATGCTTTGACTAAATCCCTTGGGGCTTTGAAACTTAGTGTTTTGTTCTTTTTTCCAACCTTCTTCTTGACCACCTCCTCCCTGATCTTTTCCCTAACCTTCTCCTTCCTGACCTTCTCCTCCCTTATCTTCTTTTCCCTAACCTTTTCCCTGATCTTCTCCTTCCTGATCTCTCTTCCTAAGCTATCAAAGCAATAAACCTTTTTCCCTTTTCTCAAAACCAGGTCTTTGTTATTGGATTGGCATCTGGGACAAAGAACAAGCTTTCAGCAACATATGTATGCATTCATTCAAAGACAAAGTTCCCACTTATGTGTAGTAGACAACTCTTGGAGAATTTGGGCTATGAAAGGCAACAGAAATGAGGTGGGAGGGAGAGGAGTATATGGAATAAGGGAAGACTTTTTAGAATGGAAGATTTACAACATGTGTACATGCTCATGGGAACAGTCCAGTAGTGAGGAAAAGAAGGGTGATACAGATGAGTCCAACCAAAGTAGCAGAATCTTTGAGAAGGGAATTATATGTAGTAGATAACCAGGAGTTTGGTAGACAACAGCTATGAGAAGTAGGAGAAAACTTAGGTAAGAACATTGAAGGTCAGAAAAAGGCAATTGCTGGAAGAATGCAAAGGAGGAGCTCATTAAAGAGGTATTTTGTAGATAAATCAATAAAAATTGTCATATATTAGGTTGATGAGGGGAAAGGAAGACATTTCCTAGATAAGGTAGTCAAGAGAAGATGTTTTTTTGTAAAATACAAATATGAGAACAAGTTTGAGCAAAAATTGGTTTAATACAAGTGGAATGGGAATTGCCTGTGATATAACCATGTAGATATGTCCAGTAGACTCTGGAGCCCAAAAACTTGTCATGTGATGTAGGTTGGCTGTTTGAAGTTACGGGAGAGTGTGTGTGTTTAATGTGAAAAGATCATGCCAACCTCAGGAAGTGGATAGAAAGGAGACCAACAAAGCAAATGGAAAGAAGCCCAAGAGATTTCTTTTATAGATCCTTTACAGACTTTATACTTGCTTTCCAGCTTCCTTGAGTATTGTTTTCCCAGGTTTCTCTATGACTGTCCTTTACCACTTTAAGATAGTGACTCGTCACTTGAAGTGAAGCCTGGATCACCCTATTTAAAATTGCATCCAACTACATATAAACCTGCTCCCATTCATTCACTGTATTTTTCTTCGTAGAACTAACACTGTATATTTTGTTCTTTATTTTTGTTACAGGTAAACTACTCCCTCACTGGAATGGAAGTTCCACAAGAGCAGGAACTTAGTTTGTTTTACTGCATGAAAGAGTCAATATCTAGCTATGCACCTGAACATATATGCATTCCGAACAGTCAATTATTATCTTCTGTCTAAACTGTTTGAAGTGCTCCTAAGTTTGATGACTTATTGAAAATGTCTTTTTTTCAGCCAGCAGTATCTGTTGGAAATGTTGGACAGCTTGCAATAGATCTGATCATTTCTACATTGAACATGCATAAAATTGGCTACTTCTATACCGATTGCCTGGTGCCAATAGTTGGGAACAATCCATATGCAACTGAAGAAGACAATTCAACAGAGCTCAGTACAAATGCTGAAGGTATGTCTTTGGCATGTTCTGTTATGTTACCAAAAGCTTGGTCCTTATCCCCAATGCCAATCCAATAATGAGGACACAGTTTTGAGAAAAAGGAAAAAAGAGTTTAATTGCTTTGCAACAAAGGAGAAACACAGGGGACTCCTGTCCCAGAGGCTGTGAGGCTGTGAATGTCCCCATCAGCAAGAACAGGGGTTTGGTTTTGTTGTTGTTGTTGTTTGGTACCGGGGATTGGATTTAGGAGCACCCAACCACTGAGCCACATCCTCAGACCTACTTTGTATTTTATTTAGAGACAGGGTCTCATTGAGTTGCTTAGCACCTCACTTTTGCTGAGGCTGTCTTTGAATTTGGGGTCCTCCTGCCTCGGCCTCCCAAGCCACTGGGATAAGAGGCTGTGCCACTGGCTAACAGTGGGTTTTTAAAGAGGTGATGCAAAGGCTACTAAAGTCATGGACTTCTGTGTTGAGTTGTGATTCACTTGTTAATTTGGGAGATAGTCATTTCTGAGATCTTCTGGTACCACCCAAAGTCTGGATTACTTCTTTCCTATGGTGGGTGGGTACTCAAGGACTGATAAATCTGCCTAAAATGAGGAAGAAAGGTAATACTGTTTTCCCTGAGATTGGGGCAGAGGAGAGATTAGGGAGGAGCGGGGAGAGAGGAAGAGAAACATGTCTTTTTAAAAATAAGTTCCAGAGGTAGAGCAGCAAGGGCAATTTTCAAAGCATAAAGTAGACACCTAACAGCTCCACCCTAGTGTGGAGTTCTTCCTTAGTATAAACACAGAAGGTTCTGGCTTAGCATTTTCAATCCTACCCCAGCCAGAGCTCTCTCTCTTAGTATGCTTGCCGGTGGTTAGTCAGCATGCTTATCTCTCCCACCTGATGGAGTTCCTTTAAATCAGAAAGGACTGACCTGGGCACAGAAGCCACACCTGTGGTCCCAGCCACTCACAGTGCTGAGGCTGGTGTGTCACCTGGAGCCTGTGGCTGGCCTGGATCACAGGATAAGACTTCTTGACAAGAGGCCTGGGTCACACAACAAGACTTCCTCCCACATGACTTCTCAAAAAGAAGAAAAGAAAAGCAGTGTAATGGAAACTCCAATGAAGATTATGAAAGTGTGTTGTGCTTGTGGTCTGGGTAGCCTTTCAGAGTTCTACTTTTTTCAACTCAGATCTTTTTCCTTTTGTCCTATTTTATTTTCTGTTCTTAGTGGCATATGTAACCATTGCTAGTATTATAGATAGAGGAAAAGAAATTCCAGTAAGCTCAGTGCAATGCTTAATAGCGCTGCTTCAGCTAAACCTTGTATTTATCCCCTCAAATGTTTTAGAATTCATGGTAATACAGTATAGATAAATCTCAGAGATTGAGTTGTTCAGTGCTCCTGATATGTAAGTTTTTAATACCATAAGACCATAATTCTTCATAGGCCTATCATGTAACTAAAACGACATTAGCACTGTTCAAAAAATTAATTTTTAAATATTTTCCTATGCATAATCTGTATTGATTTGCCTCAAAATGTCATATAAAGTTTATTTCTCCAAACCAGGATCCGTGCTGATTGTTGTGCCCTTGAAACACTTTTACTCTAGAGTAGTCCTTTTCTCTTCACAAAACCAATTTATTTCCTTGTGCTCTCTTTTGGCTTCTTCCTCTAGCCCCCTGTATTTTCTG